AGAAAAACTCCCTTTTAACAGGCAGAAACCTCCAGCAGAATCTGAGAGAGGGGCAGTCATCTTTTGATGTGTATCAGTCAGAATGATTACGTTCTTTGTCGCCCCTAATTAAAAGTACTTTTAAGGGGAAACATATATGCTGATAGCACTCTGTTAGAGTTAACAGTAATGACCTCGCCGAGCTAAAACCTAGCCTTTACCTCATGCTATGAGAATATGTAACATGTATGACCTCTTAACATGAACCAGGCTCCTAAAACTAGGCTTGTTTACCATGTCGCCAATATGCAACACAACCGTACCCCTAATCCCACAGCAAATTCAAAAGTGTTAAATGTTTGGGTGTTAGTAGTCTTCTTGCAAAGTAGAGTTAATTTTACTCTAAGCAGAGTCACATTCTTTTAATGTAACTCTGAGGTTTAAAATGACAGTAGTTAAAATCGAGTGTTAAAAATGAGTGTTTCTATGTCAAATCTGGAGGTGTTACAATGGAAACATTAACTCTTGACCTCTGAACTCTGAACTCCTACAGGGGCTATGACACCAACAGAGTAAATTCACAGACTCCGCCCCCAGCACGGCTCCAATCGAAGCTGAAGTGAAGCCGTTTTAGAACATTTTGCTCTACATATTTGAGTTGTTTGGTAAGTCATTTTTTCAAAGATTGTTTCAATTGTTATTATTAGCTTTTACTTCTGTGGCTCTTTGGAGTTGAGACAAAGCTGTGTTAAAGGCATTAGCCATGTTGCTCGGTGATAGCATAATATTCTGTTTTAGCTAGCCTTGAAAAAAAGCTTGCATGTGAATTTTCAGTCAAATTTTTTGGTCAAATACACCTAAAACAATGTCTAGAATGTGAAATGTTGGTATAATGGTGCTACTTGAACCCTGAAAATGATCTCCCATAACAAAACGAGCAAACAGCAGTAGCTAACGTCCTGACTGGGTTCTACGTTAGCATAGATCCCTCCAGAGTTTTGCGCACACGGTTTAGGTAAAAATGAAAAAGGTTGAGGTTTTACATTTAGTTCAGTATTACCTGTTGCCTGTGTCCTTGTCTTTTGGGAAAATACTTTACACAAGTAATGGCTCAAAGAGGATTCCTTTTTTTTTTTTTTACTGTGCTGCAATTGATTACCAGATTATTTGTGCCATTAATTAGTGTCAACTAATTATTTTTTTTCAATCTCCACATAGGATATGCTTGTGAAGATGGAATATGGGGGAGAGCAGAAGTGCGTTGAAGTTCCACAAAGTGATGAATGAAGGACGTGCATATTGTATTGAAGAAATAAGTGATGAGAATGCTGTTATTTGCATTTACCAGCTCACCTATGTCAGACCTTTTGATAAACAAAACTCTAATGAAAGTGAGAACACGTATACTGTTACATCTTTCAGAAAATGTTTTGAAATTGTGGTGCACAGTTCAGAATAAATTTTTAAAAAAACCATTGCATCTTTTTAGTAAATGTTTATTTCCAAAAGAAATTTCTAGAGGTTCAGAACAGGAAAATTCCCGCTTTTTAGAATTAATTAGAAGATAACTCTTACGTAGTTAAACTAAAATACTCTTTGAGAGTTAATATATAAACTCTTAACACCTAGTTAGCATTAGTAAGTGTTAAATTATCAACTCCAGACAGATTTGGTGTTTAACACTAAATCAGAGTTAACTTACCAACTCTCCAAAAAGAGTTAAATTAACACTCTCTGGTGTGGACCCATATACACACTTTAATAGTGTTGAAATCAAATCTGACAGTGTTAATTTGGACATGCTGGATTTGCTGTGGCCTTGATTGTACTTTCTGTGTCCACAAGTACGCTAGGATCAAATCGGGTATGAGTGACATGAGTTTCATTATAAGACAGTGAACACAATGGTCCACATGAATGCTGAGGTTTTGTGACCGCAACGACTCTTGCACATGTGCTCCATGTCTAGTTGTTCGCAGTGTTAAGTGGCTAATCCTCTGAGATCTAAGGCATTATTAATGATAATCCTAACCTTATGCTAACTCTGTACTTTTAAGAAAGAAAAATGTCCATTTTTAGTGTTTATCAGGTAGAAAGATTCTTTTTTTGTTTTGGGTTCAGGTTGGAATCATTCAAACTGAGAGAGTTAACATCAATATAGAACTGAGGCTCACGAACAAAATAATTATGCAAAAGAACATTTGTCATTTATTTTTTTCATATATGTTATAACAATATTATGCTATATACTGCATATAATTATATTTCTATTTCTACATTGAACACAAGCTACTAAGGAATGCGTACAGTACAGTCAGCAACATAGAAAAATATTATAGTAGTATTGGCACAGATGAAGTAGTATTTGTTTTATACTTTACATGTTGTACATTCAGCAAAAGAAATGCAGAATGAAATAAATTAATGATTCTTTGAGGGACATGAAACATTTTTATAATCAGATCAAACAAATGGAGGGTCCAAAATAATAGGGACAGCGAAGACAGATGAGCTTTCACAGACATATAACACAGTTTCCATACACACCTCCATGTGCTACACATAAACAAGGCTCTCTAAAAAGTCAAATACAAAATGGTTCAAGTCAGTCAAGTGTTGGGTTTATAGAATTTACTCAACAACATAAATGTACAGTTAACAGCCAATAAATATTTGGTAAAAAAGAGAGCTAAGAGTGACGTAAATACAATTCTTTCTGATGAAACCTTCAAATGAAACCTTTTGCAGGACAGCCATCCATCTCATAAAGCAATTTCATACCTCTGTTTGCCCTTGAAGGGGTCAATCTCAATACCTCTCCATCACTTTTCCCCTCCATTGATTCCTGCCGACTCCTTTGAGTAAACACACACAAAGGAAAAGCAAACAAGCTTAAGCCTCAGCCATGTACAGTATGTGTGTTTTTGGTGCATGATACACGGCAGCTCCAGCAGACTGCTTGCGCAGCTTTGCTTAGCGGGTCTTTGAGAACCATCGTCCTTAAGGAACCCATTTGGTTAGAGTCGATCACAGTGACAGAGCAGCAGCTTCCACACGGGGAAAAAAAGCACTTTGCCGTGTCACCGGTCGTTCTTTGAGACAGCACGCTTTGAACAAAAAACAATGCTTGTATAGCCAAGACAGACAGGTGAGGTTAGTTTTTACAATGAGAACAGGACGTGACCTTCAGATCTAAAAAAGAAAGAAAAATAGCTGTTTGTAGTTTGTAAAGCTAGTGGAAGTTGATCCAAGGTTTTCAATAAAGTGCACTTCAAACCAGTGCAAAGGTTAAAATATATCTCTCTGTCTGTACATAACTACATATGCAGCAGACGCATAACTACAGCCGGAAATGAGACGTGTATGACAGTTCTCTAATATCAGAATATGTAAACACTGTCTGATGAACAGCACGGCGGTGAGGAAACAATCCTCGCCAGGATGCTAGAAAACAACACTTTGCATCTGACAGCCAAGGATGTGGGAAAAGCTGATGAGATCACAACATGTTCAAGAGAACATTCGACTGCTTGCACAGCGGTTCCCTGCTATCATCATGCATCACATTGCGTAGACAGTGTGCGGGGGAGAATCTTGGCAGTGTGTCAGTATTACACAGAATCATCCAGGATAACAAAAGCAATGACACCCTGATTTACACCAATTTTAAAAAAAAAAGCAATGCATTTCAAAGGGTTTTAATCTACAGCTTTACATGGCTAATTAGAAAATAGATCCTCATTAGACCACAATAGTCTATTGTATCGTACAGTCATGAATGGCAAATCTTTGTCACATGCATGCACATCAAATCTGCCGTTGATTATACCAGCAAGCCTGTTTACCGCCTGCCATTCGAGATTCAAGACGCATTATCAAAAGAACTGATTAACTAGAGGCTACAACTACTAGTAGTTGTATATAATTTTATATTTTATAGCAGTAATTCCATAAAATTGCTTCATGATTGTTAGATTGTTAAATATTCATCACGTCAAAGGAAAAATTGTTTGCTAAACCTCTCCCCCGGTTAGCTATCGCTCCATCGTAGCAACTCGTTTAGGCACAAGAAGCCTGTCAAGCTATGGATTTCTGCATGTTTAAGTGTGTGGGCATTTATACAGTGCTTTTCTAGCTTTGTTGATAAATCAAAGTGCTTTTGACTCCAAGCCACACTTAAACATACATTCATAGAGTGCTTTACTCGATGCAGTTTAAATATTTTATCTATATATCACATGCATGGCCAATTTAGACTTTAGACTGTGGAGGAAGAGTACCCCGAGGAAAACCTGCTCATTCACAGGGAGAACACGAAAGCTCAACACAGAAAATTCCCAGCTGGCGTTCAAACCAGTGAAGCAACAGAACTAAACGCTGCCCGTGGCTTGTTCCAAAACCAAAAGTAAGCACAAAAGTATGGGAGGGTATGATAATGTTGGGTGCTACCATCAGCTGCAGCTGTATGCATTTACATCTTACATCATTGTAACCTATCAACTTCCACATCCAAAGATGTCCGGGCAAAAGTAGATGAATAATTTGTGTTATAGGTTGTGACATATAAGAAGTTGTAGACTGCCTTTAGATAAATATGACGTTACCTTTTGGAAGAAAATGTGCTGTACTGTGCTGAGGGCTGAACATTTTCACTGTCGCTACTTTGGTGTTTTTAAACCAGATGTGAGAGGGGAAACTGACGGAGAACCAGAATGCACTGCAATCACATGCAGCAGCCACTTGTCATCCACACAGCAGCCCTGGCCTAAGGGCTTTTACCCTTTTACTGTTTTTTTTATAACCTACTAACCTACTAAGGACCAGAATTTACCAAGCATGCACTGTGACACCATAAAAGAGATCAGAAGAGCCAAGGACAATTTTTCCATTGACTATAGAAGTTCTTTTTGACACAAGAGGAGTCGCCCCCTTCTGGTCATTAGAAGTAATGCGTGTTTAAAGCCACATACAGTATCTTTTATTTGGAGCTGATTTCTTTTTTCTTTTTTTTTTCTTTTTTTTTTGCATTATTTGACAAATACTATGGCTGTGTAGTTATTTATTTCAAACACACCATCTAAGAAGTCCAAAAACATCATGAATCTACATATACACTTCTCGTTCCAAAAATCCCAAATGCCAAATTCACATTCACTTTTTATATAATGCCATGCACACATTGCCTAAAATTTGTCTGCCATATTGGACATGATACAACAACCTGTTGCTAAGGAAACATATGTATGCCTTGACTGGCTGGCAGCAAATGTTTCCTGTAGTTCTTCAGATTTGTCAGCAAACACTGTTACCGGCACTATTAGCCAAGCAGATATAAAACAAACCAGAAAGGGAGAAAGCTCACCTTCAAAGTAATGGTCAGACTGTCGCTAAGATTTTGTGTCTAGTCTTCAACTGATCTTGTCACCATTTTTGGCACATGTCTAAAATGGGTGATGAATGGTTGGTGGTCAAATGTCTACAGAATCAGTATAAAAACGTCTAATCACAACTTGTACTACTTTTTCCTTTGTGCGCTGTTTAACACATTTTGGGATGTTGGCTTCCCCAACCAACATAACCCAAAACGTCATGCAAACGTCATAAAAATCATGCAAATAAAGCTATGTTATGTCTAAATTCAGCTTAAAAAAGGAAAAATTGCAGGCAACAAAGTCAAACAGAGGTATGATAGTCAAGTAGCTGAGATTAGCTTGATTGGTTAGCTAGCTAACGCTGAAAAATCCAGGAGCAGTGACAGGTCTGCTTTTGTCTACTTAGGTCTGACATCACATTTTAGTAATGTAAACATTACTGCAGGTTGGAGGGGTATCATTCTAGATTGCATAAGGGCCTTAAGAGGCTGAAAAGCTCGACAGGTGGCACGATGGTAACTAAGGGGAGGTGGGGCTTAGCAAATGGTCCAATCCTGAATCTTGTTAATCTGTTACTAAGTCAGTACAAAAACACAATTACAAAGTAAATGCTATCACAGCAGGTAGGATCATCTCTTATCAAATATACTTTGCTGCACACTTCTATGCAAACGTTTGTTGTAGCCTAACACTTAGCTAGTCATGGACAGCAAGATTTTTTGAGATGTACAGATAAACATACAGACAACACACTTTTTACTTTTCATTTGACACATTTGATGATAATTACACACAGAGACTTAAATGTAGACGGACTACTTACACTGTAAATAACATAAGCAGGTAAAAAATAAATAATTTTAAACAATATAGTCATTTCTGTATAAATGAACATCTATGTTTCGTACAACAAAATACTTCATGTACAATCAAGGACATAAATGCTATGCATCTATTGCCTTGTAAGGATAGTGTAAGACTATCATTAGTGTAACCCTTAAAGAAGAATTCAATCAACCAGCGATAGCAAAGGCTCTAAACCAACTCTAAAGGGAAAGAAAGTAAATGCTTTAAACCACAATTAGCATCTGTTAGTGTTCTGGCTGAGAGGTTATTCATAAGGCCGACAAAACATCTACAATCAACCCTGTCATCGATGTCAGATGTTTTGCTTTGACTGGCTACACATCAAACTCAGACTTCTGAGTTAGCGGTTTAAACAGTCACAATATACCAATCCTTTATTAACAGCTGCTAACCATCCTAACAAATGGGATATACAAATCTGGCCTCTTGGATACCAGGAAATATATACATTACATCTATTGTACAGGGTAAAATGACCTCATCCCCTTCCTTTATACTCCTTTATCCACCATTCAGATCGGTCCAGCAAGCCTGCAGTAGGAGCACCTTTACTTGAAGTAGTTGAGTCCTGCCACTAAGAAGAACTTCTCCAGGAATAGCTCAGAGTCCAAGACGGCGATGTGGGCGGCGCGGCCGATCAGTGTGTTGGCTGTGTTGGGTAGAGCGTGGAACACATTCTGGCGGATCAGGCGGCACTCTTTAGCTTCTACGAGTGGCTGCAGGAGGTTGTTGATCATCTCGGTGTACACGGGCCCTTCAGTGCGAGGGAAAAAAAAGGAAAGTAATAGCGTGTCCTCCTACGTGCATGATGTCTTATCCATATTCAAGTGTTAAAACTTAGGGCCACAGTTAGATTCATTAGTGATTCATCAGCTGTTTTTGTTTGGTCAACAAATGCCAGATATTCTATGGAGAAACTTACTTTTTCATGTTGATAGAGTGGATATAAAATTAGGAAAGCTTCTAAATATAACGCAGTGCAGAACATCACCACCATCTAAACGACCTTAATAAGAAACATGAAACATACGCCCCATAATAACAATAATTCTTGTCAATTTTTCTGATTTGCATACTTACTGCAACATACTTCCGTTCCACTTTTTTTGAAATCTCTGATGAGTGCAAAGTTTTGCCATTGCAGAGTGTTTACCCTTACTGGGATTTTTGCCCAAAGTTGCATGAGGCATGTACAGGTGCTGGTGAGCCAGACTGTTTTTTGCCCCAGTGCAATGACTTCCTAGAGTCTCGGCTGGTTGCCATACAACACCCTAGAGCCTAATCTCCTGTAAAACTGAAAATGTCATGCCAACCCCCCCAACCATGTCATGTGTGGAACATGGGTGACAGGATCAGTTCAGAGTGTCTGCACAGATATGTATGACTTAAGTTTTCCATATGGGTAGAAATTTAGAAGAAGTTGCTAAATCTGAGCTGTTAAAGTCCAGAGGTTTATAAATGAAAGCAAATGAATTTGTTAAAGACGTCATCAGGCGATGCATTCATATTTAGCCACATGCTTAACGGTTTTTATACAAACTAGTAGATGTTTTAAGAGCTGACGGCTTGATGTTTTAAGGACATTTCACTTCTCATTCAAGGTTTCTTGATTTCTAAAAACAAAAGGTGCAGAGTGCCAGGTATTTACCTCCCAGTGGGGGTTAAACAGAGCTCATGGCTTACAACACCAGCTATCAGCTACCTACCATGCAGTCTTGAGATCTCTTTCCAGGCATTTTACCCGTATTCACACTTTGCCTCTAGTTACCTTAAGGTCTTGCAGTGATTTAACCCTTAACTCCTGGTGACGTTGACAACTTGCGCCTGTTTTCACACCTTAGCTCACATGATGACACACATGATCAATAGTGGATCAACGACCCTCAAGACCACCTTGAACTCTCCACCTTTTGGTTTTTAAATCTGAAGAAGTCTCTTGCGCTACGTCCACACGCACACGGATATTTTTGAAAACTGAGATTTTCCGTTTTCGTTTTGAAAAAACAAAACAAAACTCTGTCCACATGTAAACGCTAAAAACGAAATGTTGGCCAATCAGAAGTCTAGAAGCCTGGGTGTCAGCGTTTTCAAAACTACCCATGTACGTGTGGACATAGCCTTGGATGAACGGTCCAGTTCCTTTCTTTTTTTAAACCCTGACCTGGATGACTAAGAAACATATAAAACTAGAAGATGACACATCAGTGAATGTATCTGGCCTACACTGGCACAGTTACAGGTCTTCTGCTAACCATCTATAACCACTGATAACCCCAAACCTAAATGTATGGTATAAGATTTTTTTTTCATTATTCCATAAAGTCTTGGCAATCCATGGACAAAGAGAGGAATAATTCTCACTGACACATATAAAAATCTGTTGAGGTTATTTTCCAAAGAGGTACTTTTTTTTGCTTCTCTCCAAATAATAAGGTCAGTGTTGAGAGCAAAGGCTGGACTCATCACTGATGAAGCCCTTAAAAGGTTTTGCATGTGGGTGTTCTAGACCCAGACATACGTAAAACAAAAGTAAAGCATTCCTATATCTTATTTTAACTCAACAGGGATGGCATGAAATGAGAAAAAGTGTGACTAAGTAACCTTCTGGCGTTTAAGTCATCGATGACACCATCAACTCTAACTCCAACTCAAACTCTGAACCCGAGGCGATCAGAATATGTAATTGCTGTTTTTATGACACTGTTCTGCCAAGTCTTCCCTATTAACCTGCAGTGTTAGAGGAGAGAAGGGGACACAGTCTTACCTGCTGTTATGTGAGGCACGCTCCTTTCGTGAATAATGTAAAATGTCATTCTAGGAATAAACAAGTGTGCTAAAATAATGTGGACGACAAGGCCCCCAGGTGCCCAGATATCCAGATAGAAACTATTGAAATACAAATATGAGCTGAAGTGATGACAGCTGCATTGTTCACCTGTGGTTCTATCTTTGAGAGCAGTTTTGCACATCTCTATTCTGGCAGAGTGAAAAGGAACGTAGCGGTCCTGCGGAGACGCCACTAGCACAACGTTCTTGAAGAACTGGAGCCCTACAAGGACATGAAAGACGCAAGTAAAGGAGACAGCACAGAGTAGAGAGAAGGAGGGCAAGACAGGGTAAAGGATTGAATTGGTTGTAAAATGCAAAGTACAATCACAAAGCACAATGACAGGCCTTGATACGATAAAGCTGTGTTTTTTTTTTCTCTCTCTCTCTAGTCTCCTCTCTGTGTGCTTTTAAGAGAGTGCACTGGTGGGTTTCCAATGACAGGGTTTGGATCACTTTGTCAGCCTGCCACAGCTGTAGAGAGGGGGGAAAAAAAGCGTTTTCAGGCTTATCTTCTTCAAGCCTGTGTGACAAACGACTGCTTTGTTCCACTCACACAGTGGGGAGGCCTCTCACAGGCCTCTTGCAGCTCGCTGGCAGGGGTTTGAGTGTTAGCGAGCTGACACGTACAGAAATTTGACAAAAAAAAGACAAGATGACAACATTTTCATGAATATTTGAACAGCCTGCCTTTCAAGCAACAGTCTGTAAAGTGGGGCCGTCAACACGCAGCCTCTGTTTCGGATCTCAGCCGCTTTCAAGCCGTACCTGGTTTCTGACTCAGGAGATAGAGGAACGTTTTCCGTGGATCAACGTGATCTCTGAAGGTGAGCTGCAGCAACGATCCGGATTTTTTCAGCTTCTGCATTAACCACAAACCTAAGCAAAACACACACACACACCGAATCAGGACTCCACATGCATCACAGTAGCTGAGCAGTATGGATGATATTCTTAGACAAAAGACAATATGCTGCTGAGAGGCGCGAAACACGCAGCGCTGTGCCTTCTTCCAGGAGACGAGCCGTGGCCTCACCTGTGCTGACCAGTGTGCTGTTGTTGTACAGCGTTCCCAAGTGTGGCCCTGACAACGAGAGGAAAGTGTGCAGTTTGGGCAAATAGCAGCGGAAGCGAGGCCTCGTCAGCACCGAGCGGATGATGATGTTCCCCAGAGAGTGGCCGATGAAGCTGTTGGCCGAAGACAAACAACTTTCAGAGAGAGGAACTTGCAGCATGAGTGGGCGGCTGGGAAAAAAAAAATGCCTCCAACGCTGCTGACCTACGACACTGCCCAATAGCTTTGGTAGATTCCTCTGGAAGCAGGAACGGGTTGCAGCGGAAGCTATTTGGAGATTCCTGCTGCAGCATGCGGTGATTACAGAAAATTCATTAACTTGCTAAATGTTTAAACATCCTCAAAGGCAATGACAACTTATTGATGCGAACATAGAGGACAAACCGCACGAATTAATAGCAGCTTCCCAGCAGTGGGAAATATTAGATTCATCAAGCTATGTCTGTCACTTAGTTTAATTACTGTACTGTTGCGGCTCTACCCACAATCCCTCATCTCCATCCCTGCTCCTTCTCATCTGTCTGCTCCCAAACTAAATATAGAGGTAATGTGGAAAGAACCAGATGCTGTTGCGGCACTCCATTGCCTTTTGTCTTTGATACTCGCTCCCCAGAGAATACGCCACAATAAAAAGAGAGTTAAGAAACTTGGGCAGAAACTCTCACAAAGAAATAAATTGTCACATTGAGGGCAATTAAGCGGGAAGATGAATAGCTTAATTTGATTGGAACTAGGCAGCACAGAGCTGCATAAAGCAGCGCAGTCTATCATGTGAAAGTCACAAGCTTATTGGCACGGTATGATAAGAGCTTTTCATCTGTTTTCTGCCACTTATCCATTTTGAGTCTATACATTATGACGGAGCTGTCATTCTCCGAAGTTAAGACTTCCACAGAAGAATCAGAGCCAAGTCTCTGCTGCCATCTGCTGACTGGACTGAATACTGCTCAGGCTGGTCCTTTACTGGTTTCCCTTAACCTCAAATGACTTCCCACATGAGAATCTTCTAGCAGAGGAACTGTAAGACCAAAATGAAACTACAAACTCAACTTGAAGGGTGATATATTCTAATTTCTGGAAGCAGGCTTGTTTGAAAAGTCACTTGAATGTATTTGCACCCTATCTCTGCCCTTAGGGGGTTCACCAGCAAGCTAGTGGATATTAAGAGGTTTAATATCCAATCAAAATGAAATGTGTCAATAATGGGCACGCTGCAGCGTGTTAAACCTGGCCGACTGACCTGATCCTGCCTATGGTGAGATTGTAGAGCTGGATGTGCTGAATGATTTCATCCAGCAGCCTGTCCGTCATGGCGTCGAAGTCTGCAAACGTGTCGGCCTACGGGAGAAAAGCAAGGCTGTCAGCGCTCTGCAAATTGCCTCGAAGCACACTTTCACAGTTTTGCTCCCGTCACTGTCAAATGTACCTGGTTCCTCTCAGACATGAGGAAGTCGAGCCTGGATCCTGGCAATCCCAGCTCTATGAAAGTCTTCACAAGACGAAGGTCAGCACTGTTTCCTGGAAGCAGGTGACGAAACAGACACACAAAGTTTGTAGCTCTGCTTTTATTAAGCATGTTCGATAAACATTTAAAAGTTAACCTGAAATGAGTTTCAGGGAATTAGTATTCACAGACTGCACAGTGCAGTGTAATAAAGCTGTAGGACTTTATCAGACTATATTACATTTACAATGCTAATAGGGAATGATATGAAAGGCTGTACAGAAAGTTATGGATGTGTCAGTGCAATGCAGACGTGGAACTGGATCGCAGCGAAGCAGAACATTTTTTAAATGTGCAGCCTCACCATCAAGCCCATGGACGCACACCACCAGGTGTATGCCGTCATCAAACTCCTCATCATCCTCTTCAGGAGGGAAGTAGGGGAGATCTGATGCCAGGAGCGGGAGGTCGCTGTACAAGCTGGCCTGGAAGCTCAACTCTTTGAACAGCTCCTCTTTGGCTTTGTAGAAACTGGAGAAAAAAATGTGATATTATATTACTAAACTTATACTGAACAATTATAAGCTAATGAGATATGAGCTGATTTAAGCCTTTAACCCTTTGCTGTCTCAGCCATCATACGTTCTAATTGTAATCTAGTCTTAAAAGGGCAAAATGTGGCTACTTTTTCATGTGTGACAGAATGATTCATTTTTATGACTCTTGACTGTAAACACTGGAGAGAATAGTTTAATGATATTTTTTTTAATTATATACTATAATTGCCTAGCTTTAAACTTAGGCCTGAGTTTAGGGTTGGCATGTAGACCTTAGAGCAGGGATGGCAAATTAATTTCCCCAAGGGGCCACATGAGATGTGGATGGTTGCGCCAGTAGTCTTATAAAAAGATAAAATTGATATTAAGCAGAACTGAGTCCAGCCTACTGGGACAGTCCTCCACAACAGTCCCAGTATCTCACTTGCAGCCCGTTGGGAAAACCTAATTGTCTACCGCTGCCTTAGAGACAAGTTGATGAATGTTTCATTTTCCAAAAAGTGAATTACTCCTACAGCTTTTGCCGTGTGGCCCAAATATAATAGACAACCTACATTCAATTTTCAGAATTTACATTGCTCATGCTGCCCACTTCTTGAGCAAGCCCGTGTTGCTTAACAGAAGTCTCAGACTAACCAGTAAGCTGCTCAAAAGTTTTATTACTCTGTCATTCTGCCAGGTTTCAGATTACAGTCATGCAGAAGTCAAAGCCAATCCGATTCAAGTTAGTGTACTTCCAGCTTATCGTGATGGATTTGTCTGTGTACTCTTTGATGTGACTTAATACATTCAGGAGGCATTTCACCTCGTTTTGGCTTCCTTGCTTCATATTTGCCCTCGTTTCATTTTGTTATGCTAGACTTTCCAAGCATGAGTAACTGCCAGCTACTGCACCAGATGTCAGGAGTCATCTCCCAAAACCCATGTAAACCCCTCATGTTTTGGCCTTCAGTGATTCCTGCGATTAGGGACAAAACAGGTTTTAATTTTCTAAAATATATTTTTTGATTTTTCAAAAACACATTTACATATAATTGTTACACAAAGTTTTGTCTGTCTCACCATGTTTTGGTACAATCTCCCAGGTGTAACATTTTTTAATAATTTATGTTTTTGCTGGAGAAGTGCAAGGTTTTTGTCAACACTGTCAGACACAAAGAAATGCAAAAATATATATTTTAAATGAAGTTGTTTCAGCTATTTTGACAATTACTTTTCTTACTCAGTTGTATATAGTATTCTATTCTATTTTATTCTATTGCATTCCAGTGTTTTCTAATTTCTGCTACATAACTTTGCACTTTTGCTGTAACAAAACAAATTTCCCACCTGTGGGACTATTAAAGGTCATCTTATCTTATCTTATCTTATTAGCAGCTTCTCTGTTCTATTGTTTATGCACATAGGTTTTCAAAGTAATTATACCACATTTAAAAGTAAGATTGTTTTGGCTTTTTATTGTTAGAGTTACAGTCATACATATTTTCAGAAGCTTGTATTTAATCTGTATAAGAAACAGTCATATTAAGCAGCATGCAAATTACACATTTATTGAGAAAATTACGTATTTTTATTGGAAGATCACGAGGGAGGAAAATATATGGTTCTCCAAAAGAGAAAAATAAACAAAAACTCCATATTATGGAGTTGACAAGGTGCTGACGGTGGTGACACTCTAGTAGAAAACAAGATATTATTTCTTTCAAAATGACAATTAAACCTTAACAACCTTTGTAATATCACAAGACACATCATAACAATTCTGCTTTTGCACATGTCAAGTTCTACATCTTAATAGTTCACCAGCAAGTAGCCGCCTACTACTCCTTGATTCCTAAAGTTCTCTGTGGTTGTGTGTTTAGACCCTGCTGGACTTTCTCTCCTTTTGTCTCTGTGCTTGTTTCCAA